CTGATGGACTGGAGTGCTGTGGATTACTTGTGGATTATTGTGATGTTTTTATCAGCTGTTTGGACTCTCATTCTGACGGCACCCATTCACTGCAGAGGATCTTGTAAGCAACTACACAGTTGCTATAACACTGTATTATTTGAAAATAATTGTATTATTTCATATAGAAATAAATGAGGTGAATCTTGTGTAGTACCAGGAAATCCCCTCAAAATATTAACGAATAAATATTATTGAAAACTATAGCCCAAAAGCCTTTTGACCACAGAGGACCACAAATGTGATCCCTATGTGATGGATGCCAGAGGGTGAAACGGTCTTGATCGTTTGATGTTTATTGTGTAACTAATGATTTGGCCCTATGTTTACAGTTATGCCTATTAGCGAAGTGCTTCAAACCTGCAGTCCCATTCCTGGAGTTAGACATGATGGATATTTGCAAGGAGAACGGAGCATATGACGCAAAGCACTTTCTATGTTTTTACTACTATGGAGGCATGATCTACACTGGTCTGAAGAACTCTGAACGGGCGCTGTATTTTTTTGAACAGGTATTTATTTTTTTGTACAGTTTTACTTATGCTAATGCTGGGACAGTATAGCTAAAATCTCTATATGTTGGCCTTTTGGTGATATTCAATATATGTTCAAAATTCAAAAATAATTTGACTAAACAGCAGTTAAAGCCTAGTATATTCCAAATGTTTAATGTAGAGGAAAAAAATATCATCATAAAAATCTACTTAAAAATAATCTAGGCATGTTTTTCACAAAATGAACATTAACATTTAATCATTTTAAGTTTTATGCACCACAATACATGGTAAAAAATAGGGTTGCAAAAAGGTGGAAAATTTCCAGTAAATTTCGGAAACATTGCAGAAATTTTGGAATCTTTCCAGGATTTTTTGGAATATTCCAGGGATTTTTGGAAAGTGTCCGGAAATTTGCCACCCCTTTGCAACCCTAGTAATAAACAACAGTATTTACCCACATACTAAATCATTTTATTACATGCCATATCATTAATTGATGGCACTAATGAATCAGAATTGATTCATGGAGATGAACTGATTCACAAAAATGAATCAAATTCTCTTAATGAAACCCTAAACTAGGCATGTTTTCAGTAAATGAACACTAATATTTAATCATTTTGAGTTTTATGCATCAAAATACATGGTATTAAACAACATTTACCAACATACTAAAACATTTGACTGCATCAAAAAGATTTGATTTGATTAAATATCATTAAGTGGTAGCACTAATGAATCAGAATTGATTCAATGAGATGAACTGATTCACGAAAATGAATCAAATTCAGTTTTTGCTGTTCAAGTCTTAACGAAAACTTAATGACCAAATAAAAAGCACATCAAAATCATTGTAATATTCACAGTTAATATTTGACATTATGAATTCATCTGGTTTATTTTCCATTTTCATTTTCCTATTGAATAAGCATGCATTTTGTGCTTTGTCTATTTTCAGGCAATAACCACTCCAGCGATGGCTGTCAGTCACATCATGTTAGAAGCATACAAGAAGTACATCCTGGTGTCCCTCATCCTTCATGGCAAATTACAGCAGCTCCCTAAATACACATCACAGATCGTGGGCCGGTTCATCAAGGTGAGTGTTTCTGCCTCGACACCGTGGCTTTGAATTGACTGTAAAGACCCCGTGAGCTCATCATGTTTTCTGTGTGTGTTTGTGATGTAAAGCCCCTCAGTAATGCTTACCACGAGCTGGCTCAGGTCTACGCCACCAACAACCCCTCCGAGCTGTGCGCTCTGGTCAACAGACACAGCGAGACGTTTGCACGAGACAACAACACCGGCCTGGTCAAACAGTGCCTGTCCTCGCTCTACAAGAAAAACATTCAGAGGCTCACCAAGGTCTGAACTTGCACTAATGTTCTGCATGTATTACAGCAGTGTACTGTCAAGAGATTAACTTCTTCAGTCTAATTCATTACATGATGCGCTGATTCATTCATTGCAGATTAATTGCACATCAATTTGGGCTGAGAAGTTACCCCAAAAGATAATTTAAAGTCATTCTTGTGGTAGACATTAGACATTACAAAAAAAGTAGCTTTAGAAATCAATGCTTTGCTTCAGTATAGACTTCGTTGCACTCTAGGGCTGCTTGATTATGGCAAAAATCATAATCACGATTATTTTTGGTCAATGTTGTAATCACGATTATTTAACACGATTATTAGTGGGTCGTATGACCAAAACGTAATACGAGTGATTAATTTAAAAATAGCAATATATATCAAACATACACTTTCTGTAAGTAAGGTTGCTATGAAATGTACATTTTAGATAGCAGCAAAATGTTCAATACCATTCTCAATACCACATCAGAATACTAGGTCCTCAAGATAAAAGTCCTCAAAAATTCTTGAAAAATAAATAGACAGCCAGTAATACAATAAAAACAAAAAAAAAAGCAAAGGTAAAAACAATAGAAAAAGATACAAATGAAA